AAAATCTGAATGCTGACGATAACAGAGGCCGGTGAGTTCCTGCACATTACTAAAAAGGAATCAATAATATCGAGACAAACGGTTTGAATGAGGCAAATCACCCAGAGGAACAGATGGATCTTGTCAATCTAAATGCCAGTATTGTTCTGTGGAATATGTAAAGTACTGGACTAGATAAAGGAGCTGCTGATCACCTACTCTGATACAGGGCGGAGAACTCTGTTGCATGACAGTCGCTGTGGCAAACAAAATATATTCCTACTATTCCTAGCAATGGGATTAATAGATTTTTGTTTGACATTGTACATATTCAACAAACAGTAAGTTTCCTCAGGCAGCTGTTAGACCTGTAAGAATTTCTACATCAAAATGTAATACATGCCAGAGGCTGTTACAAACACGTACTTCACACTTTAGAGTACATTACATAAAGGATTGAAATATAAAATGTGTTTCCACTAAGTTAATACTTAAGTCTTAAAACTAAAGTGCATCTATTGTTTGGTCTTAAAAAAAGTAGTTTTAACTGACTCTTTATCATCAAATACATGTAAGTACAAACACACATACTGTATGTAGACTTGGGACTTCATATATTTAACATGGGGAGTCTATAAAAACACGATTAAATTCCTTAATGGAAAATGGCAAAAACCTCACTACAAAAGACAAGATATCTCAGGATCTGCTGCTTTGATTTTTTACAATTGTAATTTTTTTCTGTGACCTTTGGACAGAGCCACACTTGCTATTTCTAACCAGCTGCAGCCTCTAGATTAATATTTAGCATGCAGACATGAAAGTAGTATCAATGCTCTCATCTTACTTTGAAATAGAGTGAACAAGTGTTTTTTTCTGGAAGCTGGTGAAAGGAGAACTCAGGCAGCAGCTGATGTCTAATGCGGAAGAGTTTTATGTAGACTTGATGCATCAAGGAGACCAGAAGGTGCAACAATATGCAAACACTAACAGAGTAACATGAGCAACTGTCACCCCCAAGTCTGAAGATGTCTCACACAGCATCCCCATATATCTTCCTCTACTTACGTCACCCATTGCAACAGCACATCCATTAATGGCTAGAATTGCTCTATGTTCTACATTCTCTATGTTACATGTAGGTGTTTGCATCATAGATGGATAGTGAAGCCTAAAGCATGCATTCCTAAATCTCGTGTCTTTACGTCTTGCCACTGGTGAAATATGCAAAAGAGTTGTTGTTGTCTGGGGCATCTGAGTTAGATAGGAAAGTCCATGAGTATAGACATTACAATGTACTGCTAGTTGGCCCTTTATCTATTACCTGACCTTGGGTACTGCTTGGAGAGAGAAGGGAGCTCCAAGACTGGCCTGACTCACGCCCAATAGACCGCGTCATGGTTCAGGGCCCCGCAGGTGACATAGGTTGGGAAGTTCAGCTGAAAAGTGTGAATAATCCACAGCCACCCCAGTTAGATAGTCTGATTGCACATGGGTAAGTGAGATAAGTAATTCAAATAAGCTTGATAGCCAGCCAGTTCACTCTGTCGCCTAACGGCATGTCTTTGGACGTACGGTGGGAGGAAGTCAGAGCACCCGGACACAACCCACTCGGACACGGGAAAACATGCAAACTCTAAACAGAAAAACACGCCCGAACCGGGATTCAAACAGCCAAGGTGCATTAAAGCTGTTCTGGTGGCACATGGTATATTAAGACACTAAATATTGATTTTTATTTTAATTTGTCACCTGGCTGTATCTCTTATAGGTCGCCCAATCTTATGGAAGTGCAACAGTAAATCACTCCAGTGCTTTTACAAGATAAAAAACAGAGGGTAAAAATAGGTTTATATGCTACAGATATAAAACAGCAGGTTGGAAAGTGAGAATAGTTGCAGAATGTACAGATAAAAACACATTTCACAATACATCATTAATGTTCGTTTTCCTCTTAGAGATTCCTAGACTGACTGACTTGGAGGCTATAACGTGAAGTTTTCCTCTTCCTCCCTGGGATATGACATTTCTCTTTAGAGACTCAACACTCACGTTCATTTTCTAATCGTACAGAGGCGTATGACCCTGAGGATGGGAATAAAAGAAGGAGAAATTACTTTCATTAAGAAATTCAGATTTCCCCCATCCTTTTGATCTTGTGCCAGAAGAACATTTATGCTGATGAAATGCATAAATAAAGTTCTTAAATTATCCCATTCCTCTTTAGCGCATGTATCAGAGTTGGAGAACTTCCAGACAAGACAACCACAATCACAGTGAGTGCCTCTGAGAGGAGGTGATTTAGGAGATGGCCTGTCGCTGGTTTAAACATCATGTACAGTAGCTCAGCTCTGAAAATTTACTGGTAAGGTGCACGTCAACTCATATCCTGCAAGTGATGTAAATGAATTGTATGTGTGTGTAAATATGTGCTGTTCCAGAAGAATCTAGCACTTCAGTGTTGAAATTAATTTCTAACTAATTAATTTCTAGAGGACAACTCGTTATTTTGTAAATACTCTGGTCATAGCAATGCTTTATCTCTCATCTACCGAAGCTTTAACCTCCTCGTTAACTAGCACATTGTTAAGTACACTGAAACTTGTACAATTCTAATTATTTCTCCTTAAAGCTTTTTCTACACTCCACAACACAAATAACTTAGTGTGGCTCCCGTCTGTCTCAGGAGGCTGATAGGAATAAACCCACAGACTGTGTATAAATGGACTATATGACAGCTCCCCTGAAGTGACGCCAAAGCGTCTTAATCTGGCTGCACTATAGGTCATAAATCTTTTCTTCTCCGTGTTAGCAGATGGGATATGGACCAAACTAAGAAAAAAATATTTAAGAAAAAATGTCTCAATCATGGTTTCTGTTATTTAGAGTAGTTATCTTCACACTGGTGTTAGTCCTGGTTCAAGTTTTGATGCTATAAAAATGTGCTGAGAGTGACTCGAACACGTGTATCAATGGACCTCACTACTGTGCCTCCATCCCATGATTGCTACTGTGTACACTCTGACTCCAAATCTGCAAGTTGGCAGCATTTGGGAAATTTCCATTGTAATGACCCATTCCACAGTTCCTTCTTGTTTCAGCTTCCAGAAATGACCCACAGACTTACCCATGAAACTGCTGACAATACAAAACTTGCTTTATTATTTTCTAATGAAACTCAAAATGAGGGAAATACTTCTGTAAAATTATTTCTCTGTTGTCTCGTCAGATCTTTACTGATAATATTGTGCAAGGAAAAACATTTCCGGTCACTAAATGTCTTCTACTTCTTCTTCTGTTTAGTCAAATATAGATATAAAATGAAGAGGAAGAAACTTTTCTTCCTTCATTTTCCTGTTAACCACACAGAGATTCATCACCATGTTACATTTAGATAGGATTTATTCACTGATTTAATAAATCAAGTGCATTCAAACCTAATCTGACTGCTCATAAGCTGTGATCCCAGATAGCAATGCATTCAACTCTGAATGAAGTAAAGGTGCTCTTATAATCATCATCTAATTCACCAAGGAAGTGAAAATCTTCCATTAAAATAAAGCCAATGAATGTTTCTCTGATATCATTACTCAGGGAGATCAAATGACAAATGCCTATCACGCCCTCGGCTAGAAAAAGTTAGAGGTGAGAAGTAAAGAGAGAGAGCTCTGAAGCTGTGCCAGTTCATTTGATCTGCTATTAACATTTGGCTGGTCACTATGAACAGGCAAATATATACTGGACATTTTAAGTGTCTTTAACATTTGTGGACAGCTGTGAATATCACGCTCACACATTATCACCTCATGAAGCAGATATATGTCAGCAAACAGTAGCTTGTTTACACATCCAGCAGACAAAGAGCAACACTGAAATGTATCTGGAGTAGTGTTTCTGTCCAGTATTCACTCCCCCAACTACTGAGAATAGTATCCAACTATGTAACTGCTAAATGCTTCACTATGCTCACTAGCTAATTGTCAACAAAGCAGCCCTTTTTCCCTGGAAACAGCTGCCCACCACTGCTAGGATTGCAGCTGATAGCAGTGAGAACTAAAAGTATGCTCTGAGAGTGCATATGTCTGCTAATACCCAAACCATTATCTAATATTATTTCCTTTTAATAATGTAGTCTGTGGCAGCTTTTCCTATTACAGTTTCAGAGCGAACCAAAAAAAAGTTGAAATCACATAATCACATGAGAAATCTGTAACACCATGTGCTGCTTCGTTGCTGCATTTATATGCACAGCACTATCTGCTCGTGTGAGCACTCATATCATCCATAAAGTTTTTACCATCCACACAGTAAGATGGCACGATGGCATCAATACAGTTCTCTCTCTCATGCAAAAACGTATCTTTCACTCTTTCACTCACTGTGTACTTGTCACTAGGAATCTGTTGAGCATGACAGCGATGTTCATGTGGGTGCACGTGCTACTACCATAGTTTGAAAGTGAAACACATTTTCTGGATTTGCCCATTTACTCGTATCCGCACCAACATTTAAGGCGTCTACTTCTGAACCATATTGCATCATTCCACCGAGTTTTGTGGTAATTTGTTCAGTAGTTTTTGTGTAAACCTGCTGACTAACAAACAAACAAAAAGAAAACATAACTTCCTTGGCAGAGGTAATAAATTAAAAGCTGCAGGCCAAAAACCAAAACAATGAGCTGAAAGCTATGAGAAGATGAGAGAAACTGCAAAGTAGAATTAATCATTCTCAGTGGGTTCACCACATCTTCATGTGAATGTGAAAATTCGCTGGGTATCAAACATAAGTTAGACCGAACATATAACAAGACCAACTAAAGTCAATCAAAAGTCAGTTAACTGAGGGATCAAAACCAAAACAAAGACAGAAGAGGAAATGACGATGTGTGGTGAGCCGAGCAGAACAGAACAATCCTGGCACAGAGCTGCCAATGTGCCCACCGCACAGACTCATCAATTACCAGGGTGAGCTTAAACATGGTGCTGAGGCAGGTGGTTTTGAAAAGCACTGAAGTTACTTACAATATAGCAAGGCTCGCAGTACGCCTTCTTCTCCACAGCATAGAAGGGCTTGCCACGCAGCTTGGTGCTGCAGGTCATGCAGACGAAGCAGTCGACATGGAAGACCTGGTCCATGGCAGTGCAACCGGTGCCTTCACCCACCACGTTCTCTCCACAGCTGGCACAGCGCCCTGGGGAGAGGAGAAGGAGGAGGAGGAGGAGGAGGAGGAGGAGAAGTTGAGCCCAGATTCACTATACATCCACAGATACTAAAGGTCAGGTAGCATTTATCAGGAAACCAACAGTCCCACTCCACTCTCTGAAAACAATTTAAAGGTCCCTACAAATGATCCAATCATGAAGACTAAAGTGAGGAAGAGCTTTTAAGTATGACTGTATTTCCATGCACTGGCAGAGGATCTAATAATAGCAAACAGCAAGATGTGAGGAGAAGAATCTTATAGAGCTGCAAACACAACACTTCTAATCCAACCAGGTCAAAGGAAATGGGCTTTGCTAATTTTTTCAAGACATCTCTAAGAAGGAGTTGAAAATAATCCTTATTAGGGTAGAGATGTCATACATGTTATCCTGGAACATTTTTTTTTACTTGAATGATACAAAAAGATGCAAAGACATATGACACCAGAGGTTTGCAAGTAGGGCTTATTCAGATTTTGAGTTTATGGTGCCTGTGGTTCTAAACTACCATTCATTCTCTCAATAGAAAATGTTAGACTGTGTATAAAAAAACATGCAAGGTTAGTGGAAAAAGAAACTCCCAAGGTGCATTTTGGTAGGAATCATCCACTCACAGAGCTTAAAATTCTGTGTGGGTTGAAGCGAAAGATCACGGCTGTCGAGAAAACAGATTTTACAATTTACAGCCTCAGTGAATTCACAGTCAAAGTCTGGGTCAATTCAGGGTGAATTTGGAAACAACAGTGGTGTGTTTTGTTCACAACTGCAGCAACTAAATGTTGTAAAGTGCCAAAGCTCCGATTCATGCCCCTGGGAGGCTTCTTCTTATTGGAGCCAACTGCCACGCCAAAATAATGGGAAATCACTTTTTTGTTGGAATAATTAAAACTGGTGGCCATGACATAAACCTGTAGGCTTGTTTAATTATCCAGGAGACTCACATGCTTCTTTATTAAGGAAAATTGTGGATATCATTCAAAGCAAAATTTGGAAAAGAGAATTCAGAGTGTGAAAACATACACCAGAGTCTGGTTCAACTTTGCAACTCGTTTTCTTACTTATTATTATTTTAAAAATTGGAAATGCAGATCACTAGTTCTTCTGAGGTGACACATTTAAATCAACTTGTTTTGTTAAACAGACGGAGCAGAAACCAAAGTGTCTTCCATTCACAATTAAATACAGAAAAGAAAAGAAAGCACAAAATCATCATATATGAGAGGCTGAAAATGGATTGCCTTGAGATCTCTAATTGATTATCAACTTTATGCTGATTCATTTATTAATTAGGAAAGAAACATTAGAATATATGTGTATGGTGAACATTTTTTTTTATGTATTTATTTATTTATCATTCACACATGAGTGTACCTTTGACACATGAACATTGCAGTGGGAGATTCACTGCCCTGCTCACAAATCACATAAATCACAGACATAATTGTCTTTTTCATTCTGACATACTTGTATTTTTATATTATTTTTTTCTCTCAGTTTTGCGTCTGTACCATGTTAGAAACATCGTCAACACACCCACTCCCTCGCAGTGACTCCTGTGGAGGATCAACTGCTATGATCTCACATGAGCTCATTTGGTTATTCTCTTTACTCGGGGGCTGGCCAGAGAATGTCCAGAAAGAGTCCGCACTCCGGAGCCTCTCGTTTGTTGAGTTCTCACATACAGCGCCGGACATTAACCAGAGTTCAGATCATGTCAGAAAGCATCTTAAGATATCACCTGTTTCCAGTCATTTCTGTTTATTTCTGACAGGCTGCTGTCTCGCTGGCACTGCTTGACCCAATGATCCACAGACAGAACTGCAGCCCGTGCTCCAACTTATCACACCTTGTCTCCCCCCAAAAAAATTATATACTTCCCCTTTAAAAGCCTCCTTTCAATGATGTCAGAAGCGTCTAATCTTCACTTCTATTTCAAACACTGGATAAGGATGGATTAAATACTATAATTATGCCACATTTAAAGAGCTATACACATCACCAAAGTGTGACATCTATTTGAAAAAGTCAAGCTTTAAACGATAAAAAAGAAAACTTTAGAAGTACAACTAAGTCTTTGTAAAAGGGGCACAAGTGAACTGATACTATTGCGCCAGAAAGAGGCTGATTGCATATTGCGGGACATGGCATTTGAATATCTTTAATTGAGTTAGAGATATCTTTAATTGAGTTTAAGATGTCCTCGACTCAATACAAGTTATCTTCAACCCAATTAATGACACTGTCAATTTAATTACTGGTATCTTACAATAATAGGGTTTAAGAAGATATCTGAGAATGTTTTATTTTTTACACATCTGAGGACAGATGCAATCTCTCTGAGGAAGTACGATACAGTATATTTAATTAATTCAAGTTGAGTTCTATGGATCGTTTTTGTTCCTTTTTCATTTTTTGCCTCATCTAAAGGCTGATTCGGGCGATGATTGACACCCTGTATGTTCTGAACAGAGCAGTTCAAGCGTGTTACAGACAGAGGCGAGACACTAACCGGGGGAGATAGAGTATCTGATGCTTGCATTTTCACAGTTCCACTTGCTGTTTTCATATCAAAAAATTCAAACGGAGTGTAAAGCGAAATCTGTCTCAGGTATCAGCACAACTTTGGAAGTCATATGTTTTTGAGATCAAATTTCTGCTTGACTGCGAGGCCCGCTAATGGTATTCTAATCTCAGATAACTCATTATCTTATCAGAAGATTCACTGGAAACTGAGAAAAGTTGCTTAAAGAGCGACTGGAGACAGAACTTTCCCAGCAACATTTCCAAATCCTTACCACAACAGTGATATTTGTGACTTTTTGTCAGTACAGGATTCTTCGTTTATCGCCTGGGGAAACATTAAGAAACAAAGGACTGACAGATTGCAGCAGAAGACAGTTTCCTTTAAAAATTCTTATCACAGCAGCATTTTGTACATTAATTTAGCGACTGCTGTCATCCACGGCGACTTATAGCACAGACAAGTTTTCATTAAACCTGCTATCGTTTTCATCTGCTCCCACAGCTCTTTCCACACCTCAATTATGGCTGTGTTACCTACTGTACAGGGAGGCAGATTAAACAAACTAGTGAAGGCACGTCTCCAGGGGACATGTGGGTGTCAGTGGAATCACAAGCAGGGTAATCACTTCAGAGAGCCAGAGGGAAAGAGAAAGGGAGAGAGTGAGCGAGAGACAGAGACGGAGAATGCCGAGCCCGTTAGTGGCTTCAGATCACAGGCCATCTTCAGTGAGTGGATGAGAATGCCAAACATGTCCCACAGGGCTCCCACTTTAAATAGCGAGAAGGAAACCTCTCGGAAATCCTTTTCCTTTTGGCAGTCTGTGATCGTAAGGGCCCTCAGGAGCTATTTGTGCGCGACTCTGCTTACAGTGTACACAGTTTTACCCCAACACACACACAGGCGCATATACAGTGAAAAAAAGAATCTCTTTGAGCCAGACATGCCACACATGTAGACCGATAAATACAAACACAGACACATGTATCATGTACTGTATATACAAACCCACAGACATGTCATGCCTGGCTGCACATACAAATCACCAGCCCACACATGATCCTGTAACAAAGAGCAGCAGATCTGAGGCTGCTCACAGTTGGCTCGAAAACTTGTGTGTGTATTTTATTTCTAAATATTCCCCCCATATGTTTTCGGACAATTTAATAATAGGATTAAGAGTTTGTAAGCACATTGTTGATCATAAAGTGTCTGTCGTATGATGGCAGACATGACACTATGATCTCTGTTGTTTGAAAGGAAATAAAAGCCTTTGTTTAGACAGTTCTCACACTATTCTCTCCCATTATGTCAAGCTGTTTTTCTACTGCATTCTGTATATAGTACAATTGACTATTTATTAATATAATGGGTTAATGGTCTGTTTTAGTATGTTTCAGGATCCATGATAGACAAAATGTGTGCTTAATAAAGATTAAAGGGTTAAAAATCCTAATTGTCCAGATGCCGAGGTGACATTTTTTTTGCTTTTGAAAACCAAATGTTTCAGTTTACTATGACAGAAGACTGAGACAAAAATCTAAATATCTGCAAATTTCATTATTTCAGTCCCACTCTCTGCTATTAGCCAGATTATAATAAGCTTTGCTGTGTTCCATGTTCAGTTAGATTTAACACTGAGGTCCCAGTTAAAGATGGTGCTGTCACTGAGGGATTTTTCTTCCCACTTACATTGTTTAGATTTTTAGAAACACCTCTGGGTATTATGTAGTCCAGAACAATACCACCACTAATTGAGACTTCCATGATAACGCATATAATTAAACAGAGAACTTTACAACAGTGTCATGCAGGTATTAAATACATTTAATGATACTGTATAGGTGGAGTTAATAAACCGGCCATGGAATGTAAAATAATTATAGAACAAAGGATGTAAATTATGATTTTCATTATAAATTAAACAACCTTTCTTGATAAACAGATTCAATGTTTCAGTCAAATCAGTTTTCTGAGGGCACACTGCCATATTGATTGTTTTGTCAGACAAATTAATAATCTAAACAGGACTGAGGACAAAGAAAATGACCAAACTCTCACATTGGAGAATCAGAGCTGTTTCTTCATTTTTTCACAATAAATGACTATAGCAATTAACTGATCATCAAAATGTTTATGCAATTGTCGATTGAATAATTTAAAATAAGCTCTAATCACTCATTTATTAGTATCTACTTAGACTAATATATCATTATATCAGGTAATTTTCACATTTGAGAGGGTGGTACCAGATACTGTTGTCATATTTGCCTAATGTATTAAACAATGTATAAATTAACAACAATAATCAAAATAAAAAAATCTTTACCACCACACCTGTAGACCTAAATCATGCATTTACTGTAATGTGTTTTATTGTAGTGCATGAAAATGTGCCAAACTGTGAAGCTTTTCAGTGAATCTGTGGCTGTTTTCCCTCTAACAGTAAGATAATAGAGAGACGTGCAG